CGTCCGCTGGCATCCACCTGGCAGCAGAGACGGGCGGGCATGGGTCTAGGTGGCCTCCGGGCACGGCCTTGTTTGTGTGACATTCTCCATGACACAGAGCACGCCGGCGCACAAAGCCATCCAGTGTCCAGGTAAGCCGGGGAGCCTCGCGGGGGCTCAAGGTGGAGAACGAGCCGGAACGCAAACACAGCTTGACCTTTCCTGGAAGCCGCGCCTTGCCCGCGGGGCCCTGGGCTCCCCTCCGCGCGGGCTCCCGGCTCGGGTCCATGTCTGGACTCGGCTCAGCTGGCCGACGCCCCGGGGCCTCGTGAGCCCAGGTCGGGGGAAGGGGGAGACCCGAGCCACCAGGACACGCACCAGCTGCGCAGAGCGCCCCCTGCCTGCTGTGGGGGGTGGGGCGGGGGCCAACCCTGGAGCCCTGGGAGGCTCACGGGGCAAACGGACGCACGGCCTGGACAGGGAGCAAAAGCAGTAAAGCTTCTGAACGCAGGTTAGATCTGAAGACGCGCGATCCGGGGGGTGGGAAAGCCCAGCAGGCCTGCACACCCCACAGCTGGCACGGGCCGTGCACAGCCCGGTCCGGGAGCACCCGCCACACGTGGCCCGGCCCTGCCGGGCCCCCCTGGGCTCCGGTTCCCGGCGTCCCCGCCGTCCCGACGCCGCTCCCTGCGAAACGCCTCTCCACCAGGCCCCGCAAAGAGCACGGGGAGGCGGCTCAGAGCCTGGGGGACGGACATTCGCTCTTACTGCCGATGGTCGTGGCGACGAACAGAATCAAGAAACAACCAATCATAAGAGAGGGAAAGAGTTTCACCCGAGGCAAGCGCAGGCCCAGCGCGGAAGCCCGCGTCCCAGGCGGCTCTGGGAAACGGTCCCGGAGACGCAGGTTCCAGCCCAGTTTTATGTCCTGTCAAGAACAAGGAGTGCTGACCGGATAGGGACACGCTTCTGCAGGGTTTCAAAAGAACCCCGCACAGATCGGCACGTCCACGTCCAGCGAGTCGGGGTGGCCCTGGCCCCCGGGCGGGAGTCAGCATCGAAGGAGGGCCGGCACTGGCGTCCCAGGAGGAGGGGCACTTGGTCTTTAGTTTGAGCCTGGGCACCCTTCACCCCTGACCCTTTCCTTTAATAACGAAAGCAGATGCACAGTGCTTGCTGGATGGGCCGCACGCAGGCTGCTGTGGTCAGCGTCACGCTCACGTTATCCCACGTGTAAGCCGGAGCGGCGTCCCCAGACCCCAGTGTGTGAACATCTCTCTCATCGGTCGGAACACGTGAGACACGTGGCGACACAGGTGTGCCGAGTGTGGCTCTGTTGCAGGTTTGGGCTGTAAATGGGAATTCTGATCAGTTCCACTTGGTGTGAGCACCATCAAAACAGCTTAAAACCACACGGTGTGCTGACACACGTCACACTATCCAGCAATCCCAGACAGAGGGGGCTGGGTCTGGGCTGGACTGGGATGAGGGCGGTCTACCTCGGGGCGTGCACCTCTGACCCCGGACTTGCAGGAGCCTCCCGGGGGCCCTCCGAGCACAGAGCTACGGGCCCAGGGCGCGCCGGGGCACTGCCACGTGGTGCCTGGTCACGCGACCGCTGGAGCAGGGCTCCGGGCACCACGCCTGGAATCCCTGTTGTCCATGGCAAACGCCGCCAGGCTCAGGCTGAGATCCGGCCCCTTCCGTTTCAGTCTCTTCACCCCCTGACCGCCCTCCCCTCTTACACCCTTGGCCACGTTTCTGTCCAGTCGGTTGTCCTTCTCTCGTTGGTTTGTGGGAGTCCTTGGCGGACCTGCGTACAGACACTTTGCGGGAACCAAGCGGCCAGCGTTGCCTTTGGTCACTGACCCTCCTCTGTCTGGACTCTTTGTACCCGGAGGACTTCCTTCTACGTCACACAGGCATTGCCCTCACTTTCTTCTTTTAAAAAATAGTTTATTTTGTTTAGTGGAGGTGCTGGGGGCAGAACCCAGGACCTCGTGCGTGCTAAGCACGCGCCCTGCCGCTGAGCCACACCCTGCCCCTGCCCTCACTTTCTTTGGCAGATGTTTTACAGGTTTGTGCTTCCCAGCTAAGCCTTTAAATCTGCCAGGAGTTACCTGTGTGTGGTGTGAGGTAGGGAACTGCGTTTGTGTGTCTTTTCCATGTGGATAACAAGTTCTGTTTGTCTAATGTTGTCCCCACACACACTGTCGTCCCCTGTGCTACAGCTGGGTTTGCCCAGTGCGCCCGGGCCTGCTGCTGATCTGTGGCTCTATTGCTCGGTCCTGTGACAACACTGCTTCTTTTTCTTCTTTTTGGTCCTATAGCTTATTTACTTTACATATTGTAGTTTGTGTCTCTTAACTCCCTTCCCCACTCTCCCCTCCCCCCCGCCACTGACCAGGCTTTGTTCTCTGTATCTGTGAGTCTGTGTTGGTTTGTTATACTCACTAGTGTGCTGTAGTTTTAGATTCCACATTGAAGAGAAACCTACCGCATTTGTCTTTCTGTGACTTACTTCGCTGAGCATAGTTCCCTGTAAGTCCATCCATGCTGTTGCTGTGAACGGCAATACTTCATTTTCCATGGCTGAGTAGTACCCCACGGCACATACACACACCTTTATCTGTGGACGACTCGGGCGGCTTCCCCATCCTGGCAGTTGTAGCTAGTGCTGCCGCGAGCACTGGGCGCGTCGCTCTCTGAATGAGTTTTTCTTTTCTCAGCTGGACGCCCAGCAGCCCGCAGCTCGCCTCCTCTCGGCCGTGCTGCTCCTCGCAGAGTGCTGGGACCCGCCAGGCGCGCCCTCCGCGGCCCCCTTCACTGTGGCCTGAGGTTTTCTTCACTCTCTAGCTGTCGTTTACATCACCTCATCACCCCTCATGCTGTTTGATTGTTGCTTTTCTAAACGTTTTTGCAGTCTTGGTAGGAGTTTACCTATTTTAATGCCTTTTTCCCCCAAAGCAGGTTTCACTTTTGTGGGTTCTCTCTATTTTTCTTTATAGTCTAGCTCACTGGTTCTGGTCTTTACTATTTTTTTATCTTCTAATGTCTTTGGGTTATTTTTATTGTTTCTAGATTTGAATGCATAACCCACTTACTTTCATTTTTCTTGTTGTTTGATAAAAGCATCTGAGGCCATAGCTGTTTTCCTCTGTGTGTTTCTGTGATGGTGCCGTCCCCGTCCACGGGGGCTGCCAGGACAGGAGGGCACAGGGCGGGCGGGTTAGACAGCAGACTCTCGTTGCTCACAGTTCTGGGGGATGGCGCCGCCATCCTGGTGCCGGCAGGCCCACTGTTGGGTGAGGACCTTCTCGCTCACTGATGGTCGTCTTCTGGGAAGGGGTGAGGGGGCTCTTTGGGGCCCTCTTATAAAAGCCCTAATCCCACTCGTGGGGGCTCCACCCTCACGACCTAATCGCCTTCTGAAGGCCCCACCCCCTAACACCATCACGCTGGGGGCTAGGGTTTGGGGAGCACACAGACGTTCCAACCACAGTGTGTGTCTTTGCTTTTGATATCTGCCATGTTCATAGTTTTTTGGTTCTAAATATTCTGCATTTTTAAAAACCTGTGATTTCCTCTTTAACCCACAAATTGTTCAGGGGCATCTTTAAAGTTTGGATTTGCCTTTACAGGCCGCTCTGTGCGTTGAGGATTCTCAGTTCACTGCTTTGAGGTCAGACAGGGCAGGCCCCGTCGCCTCGGCTCTGGAGGTCCCCGTGCTACCGGGATGTGGGCAGCTTTTATGACGACCGCGTGTGTATCTAGAGGAATGTCGTTCCTTAGCTGTGGCGGGCACAGGGGCTTTGTAGACACGCTCTGTCGTTTGGCGCAGAAGGTTCCGCGCTGGCGTGAACGTCGGACCTGCAGAGCCCTGCTTCTCAGGCAGAAGGCCTGACGTCTCCCGTCCTGACCCCTGACTGCGCTTCGTCAGCAGCCCTCGTCTCCCGTCTGCCTGGGCTGGCTTGTACTTGGATGCCGTGCGCCCTCGACTTCACGGCACTGTGCTGTTGGTTCCCTTTTCATCCTTACTGAGGCGTTTCGTCTTAAGTTACCTTTTATCCGGTTGGCATCTTTGTCTTTACAATGCATTAGCTATTCACCCACCCATCTCCATTTTCACGGAAAGCACAATTCTTACTCGCTTAAGGTGCATTTCTTTTGTTTCTATGAACTCATACAAACATGTATCATTTTGTTTTGTGTGTGTTTAAATATCCACTAAAACATGACTTTGCTCCCCTCCTCACTTTAAACAAGCTGTCAGTGTTTTCAAGTCAGTAGAGGATCAGAGCTGCTGGCATCGTGCGTGTGTGGAGGTGCACACGTGTGCACGTGCCTGCGTGGGCACGAGTGGATGGGTTTCTTCTTGTTTTCCAGAGCTGCTGCCCTCTGGGTGCTGTCCTCAGCGCCATTTACTGCCCACTGGAGGCTGCGGTTGCTCAGTCTGCTCCAATATCTCACCTTCTCTTTTGCCTTTTCTGTCCATTGACTTCATCAGAACCGTCTTCCGGTCATGATCCTCTTCACCGTGTCAGGCCCTGCATTTCCCCATTGGAGTTTTACTCACCGCAGTGCTCACTCACCTTCAGTATTTATGGTTTGCACTCCCAGCTCCGTGTTGTCCATATTCTGCCCAGTTCTAATTGCACAATTTCTTGTTCCTTTTCATCTTGAGGCATCTTCATCACACTGCTGCGCTTGCAAAATGCACGTCACACTTTTTGTTTCTTGGAATACATTCCTGAACTGAGTGCTTGTCTTAAACCTGCTTTTCTTCACACGCTGCTTTTGCAGATAATTTGGCTCATTTTCATGAAGATGTGGAATTGGTGCGCTCTCTCCGCGGCCATGTTGTCATCATTCTCTGTTCAGCTGTTTGGTCATAGCCTCTGCCCCCGGCCGTGGTCCCTGCTCTGTTCGGCTGTTGTTGTGGAAAAAAGTGTTACAGCTCAAAGTGTTACAGTTCAGTTGTGGCAGCATCCTGGATCCAGGCGGGAGACCAAGCAGCACTCGGAGAGCTGGAGAACTCAGGTTTATTACACCAGCCGGCCCAGAGGAGTTAACACTCCAAGCTCTGGACCCTGTCTGTAGGTTTGCACAGGACTTTATAGGCTGCCAGTTTTACACTTTGCAACATCGTATGCAAATGAGGTGTAACGAAAGTTGACTAATTAGGAACAAGCTTTGTAGAAATGGACCAAACAGAAGTGAGCTCAGGGAACCAATAGAATTTCAGGGGTAAGTAAGCAGTTTCAGAGGCAAAAAGTGAGATAGAGCCTCTGGGCCAGGGAAACGGATGGTGCTGGCAGGAGAGTACTGGCCCTGCCTGCGGGTCCTGCTGGTCTTTTTATGGGGCTTCTCGCCTCACTGTGAGGCAGAGGGGGTCACAGGCACAGATAACATATCGGAGGTGACCCTGGAGGTGGCCCAGCTGTCCTCTCACCTTCCTGGGCCAGGGCTTCAGCTCCATGCACCAGTTTGTGCTTCTCCTTGGTCCTGACTTTGTGTGTGTGCGCGCGTGCGTGTGTGTGCAGTACATACATGTGCACGTGCACACGTGGGTGTGCACATGTGTGTGTGTGCACGCGTACACGTGAGCACGTGTGTATGTAAGGGTGTGTGCACGTGCGTGTGCGTGCATGTGTGTTCATGCACACCTCTTCACGGCTCTGCCATCTTGCTTCTCCCTTCCTGTGTCTGATCTGCATGCTCTGTGTATGGGGCAGCGGGGGTCCAAGTGCCTCCTTACTGTGGGTCTTGTCGGGGTGTAGACTTTTAAATACACCGCCATGTTCACACAGCAGGTGTCTCTTTTTTGGTGCTGAATCGGAGGCTAAGGAGCCACCCAGGGATGCTCTCAGACCCAGCCACATCCTCCCTGGCACCATTTCCCCGCAGACGACACCTGTGGACTGGTTCCTTCGGGGGGCGGTGCCGAGACAACCCCGGGTGGTGAACAAGCGTCAGCAATGCGGACATCGACTTGCTCCGCTGCAGAATTAACCACGGTTCGCGGCCAGGAAGGGCCGGGTCGGTAGCTTGTGCCAAGTCCCGCAGGGTCCCTGGGCGCAGGAGGATAAAGGCCGGCTGTGCGAGGGGCCGGCACAGCCTCTCCCAGCCCCATCAGGTGACCTGTCGGGTGGCCGTGAGCACAGAGCCCCGGAGATGAGGACTCTGCTCCTGACCGTCAGCCTCGGCCTCGTTGCTGCCCTGCAGGCCCAGGACCCCCCGGCCTCGGGCGGGCTGGCCCAGGACGTGAGGCTCTGATGGGACAGGCTGGGCTGGGGGTGTGCAGGGAGAGGTGGAGGTGTGCATCTTAGGGTCGGGTGTTAATCCCTGCCCCTGAGGCAACGGTCAGACGAAGCAGAGGGCCCTGAGCCAGACAGGGGGCCCATGGTCCGGGCTGAGCTGCAGGGCTGGAGCCCACACTTAGGGGGTGTCTGGCGAGGATGCTGGGAAAGCACACTGAGCTCCAGCCCCAGCATAGGGCAGAGTCTGGGGCTGCAGAGTGGGGGGTGGCTCCTGAGCCCTGACTGGAGGGAGCTTTCTCCAGGTGTCAGGGAAATGGTATCTGAAGGCCGTGACCGCAGACCAGGAGATTCCCATGAAGAAACCAGAGTCGGTGACTTCCATGAACCTTACGGTCCTGGAGGGAGGCAACCTGGAAATCCAGGCCACCATTCTGTGAGTGTCGCCGCCCGCCTCTCCGCTTCCCCGCCCCACACCAGGACAGCCAGCGTCTGGGTGGGGTGGGCGGACCACGCAGGTGTCCTTCCCAGCCCCTCCCACCACGCTCGGCACTGGACAGCTTTGAGGGCGCCCTGTCTCACCCGTAGTGCCGTGCAGGCGATGAGCCCGGGTGAGAGCTTGTGGGTGTTAAGAGCCCTGCTGGCTGCCCCTCCCCACCACCAAGGGAGACCCACGGAGCTGCCACGTGAGACACTGAAGGCCCAGCTGGTGTCTGGACTGGGGGTGGCTGATGCACTGTCCTCCCCGTGGCCGCCTGGGGCCCAGGGCCGCCTGTGAGGGTTGGGGAGCGCTGCTGGGGCTGGGCTGGGTTCCAAGGGGGCTGCGCACCCCAGGCAGTGTCGCTGCGTGGCTTCTGTCCCAGGATTGACGGTCAGTGCCGGGACAAGACACTGGTCCTGGAGAAAACCAGCGAGCCTGGCAAATACACGGCCTGTGAGTCCCAGAGCCCCAGCCGGGGTGGGGGTGGGGGTGAGTCTAGGACAGCCTTTCCTGAGAAGCCCCCCTCCTTTCTGACCCCATTGAATGACCTCCCTCCCCTCCCACTGGTCAATTTGCCTTAAAGATACGGACACCTGACACTACGTACCAGGCTGATGGGTTTGTCCCAGGAGGGACTGGCCGGCCCGAGGTCAGGGCGGCCACATGTCAGGCCCAGAAGCAGAGCTGAGCTCCCCAGGCTCCAGCCTCTTGGAGCTGCCACCCCCAAGGCCCCCTGTGACCCGCTGGGCGGGGTGTGACTACCTCTCTGGCGTGCGCTCTCCTGGGAGGTGGGGCCCCACGGCCTGGGTGGAGAACCTGCTCCCGGCGGGCCCTGGGCTTGTTCAAGGCTGGGCCCTCCCCCTCCAGACGGGGGCAAGCCCGTGGTGTACATCACACCGTCGGCGGTGAAGGACCACTACATCCTTTACTGCGAAGGCGAGCTCGGCGGGAAGCAGATCCGCATGGCGAAGCTCATGGGTGAGGGTCCCGCGTCCCATCCCCTGCACCCCCTCCCCCCGCCTGCCCTCAGGAGACGCCCCGGGAGGAAGCACTGGTTCCCGCGCCCAGTTCAGGATGCAGGCGCCCAGTCCCATCTCGGCAGGGGCGCACGGGAGGAGCAGAGGCCGAGTGGGCAGGCATCCGAATGTCACCGTGTCACGGGCGGGCCACACGTGGGAAGGGAATTCCAGCCCCTGGGGCTTAATTCCAGGGAGGAGGCTCAAGGAGGCACTGGAGCGTCAGTTCCGTCCCTGCCTGCAGACGGGAGGCCCCCGAGAGGGTCACCTGAGTGTCCCCATGGCCAGGAGCTGTGTGAATGCCAATCCGGGGGGACGGCAGGGACCTGGGGGCCGGAGACGGTTGCGCCACCTCTGAGGCCAGGCAGGTCCTCACTCCCAGGGAGAGTCTCAGGCATGTCCTCCAAGAGCACTTCCCGCCCCTCCCAGCTCTGCTGCGAGGGCGCCCCAGCCCTCTGGAGGCTCCTGGATCGACCTTTCCAGCTGAGCTCTTCTCCCGGCCACCGAGGACCCTGGGGTTCAGCCCCACACGGGTGCGGGGTCCTCCAAGCCAGCCTTCGGCCCATCACTCCTCCAGACTGGGATGGAGATGCCGGTGCCCCCCACTTCTACCCTCACCCTCCTGTCTGGCTCCTGGTCTCACTCACAGGAAGGGACCCTGAGAACAACGCAGGGGCCTTGGAGGACTTCAAGAAGGTCGCAGGAGCCAAGGGGCTACACCTGGAGGTCTTCATCCCCCGGCAAAGCGGTAGGAGGAACGCCCGTGCCCGCTCCTGCCCGGCTGCCCCGGTGGCCCTGTCAGCAGAGCACACCTGACTGGACAGCCCACCTCTGGTCCGGGCTTGTCCTTCTGGGTCAAGGGAAGTGTCAGCTGGTGAAGGGGCCCTGGGCCAGCGGATTCCCTGGCTCTTCTGAACTGTGTTTCCTGTTTCTGCAGAAACCTGCTCTCCGGAAGCCTAGGGTAAGTGAGCAGCGGGAGAGGACGCTTGGGAGGCCACAGGGTCGCCCCTGCTTCTGGGCTCAGCCTGCACGTGGGCCACGCCTCCCGGCTGTCTCGGGGAGCCTGGGCGCCTGGGAGATCTGCTTTGGGTGAGCACTCCATGCACTGGGTGCAGGAGGGAGGCTGTCGGCCCTGCCGTATCCCCACACCTGCTCCCCCAGCAGGTGGGAAATCCCTCCTGCTGAGCCCTCGAGAGCCCCGCACCTGGTTCTCCACCGCAGCCCCCTCCTCCTCTGCCATCCTGGCTCATGACCCCCGCCCCTTTCCAGGGCAGGGAGCACCCGGTGGCTGCACCACCAGGACCTCTGTGCCACAGGACCTGGAAGGAGCCCTGTCCCGGGGGCCTGGGCAGCTCCGACCCCCCCGGCCTCCCCATCTCCCCCTCCTCCCCCAGCCCCCCACGCCTTCTCCTGGCTTCACATAAAGAGCTTCCGCATCCTCGGTGACTCTGTTTGTCTGTGGGGGTCCCTTGGGTGGGCTGGGACAGGGAGGGGGTGTGGACGTGGGGTGGAAGGGTGGGAGGACCCCTGATGTCCTGAGACTCCCTGGTCCTTTCTCAGTCCAATGGGCGTGAGTCGGGGTGCTGGTGGCTCTGCCTGGTGTCCGGTGGGGGTGCCTGCAGGTCTGATGTCCTGGTCCACAGAGCTGCATCAGCAGGGCCTGCCATGCTGGGACAAAGGGGCCTCTGTTCTTGGAACTGGGTAGACCCTCGGCCCTGGTCCATGTCTGCACAGCCCGGACATGGGGCAGAGATGGGGACAGCGCTCAGACAGGGGTGTGGCTGGGCTGAACTGGTGCCCTGGGCTGAGGAGGCTGCCCCGGTTCTAGGCTGCTACGTCCTACCCTGCCTCCGGGCCCTGGTCTCTCAGGTCCACACCTGGGCGGGTCTGGGAAGGTGAGTTACAGCCCTGGGGCTGAGTCACCTCAGGTCAACTTGTTTTGACATATCTCGGGGGATTCCTGGTGACTCATGAAATTTAAAGTTTTTCTGATGGCGCGACATGATCTGGTGACTCTTGGAGACGAGACGCAGGGCTCTGGGCTCCTCGCGGCTGTGGACACAGAGCCTGCCAGGCAGGGTCTGCGCTGGGGACAGTGTGACCAGGAGGTGAGCTATGGGGGAGCTCGGTGAGGCCCACGGGGTGGGGCGAGCTGGCTTTCCTGGGCACCCTGTGAACCGACTATTGCAATGATTCCAGGGGTCCAGGGCGGCGGAGCTGCCCCAGCTACTTGGTGCTGCGTGGCCGGGAGCAGGATGGCTGGACAAGGGAAGGGTGGGGTGTGGACATGACCCACTGCTCCGGAAGGGGACTCCGGCACCCCAACCAGGGCCTCAGACTGGGGGAAGAGCGTGTTGAACAGGGCCGACACACCTGTGTCCCAGGAGGGGTCCTGGTTCTTATACGGCGCCTGGGGGCCTCCCATAGCAGGTGCTTGGGACGCCCGGCTCGGGACACAGTGCCTGCTCTGAGGTCACCTGGGGTAGGTGCACAGGTACCTCAGGTGCGATTCCTTGGCTTGGCTAAGCCTGTGGCCCCACAGGAGTCAGCCCAGCCCCCAAAGGGCAGCCTGTGGGTGGCGGTGTCCCTACCACCCACCCACGAGGGCGCTCAGTGGACACACGCTGCAGCCCCCGCCCCGTGGAGGCCCGCCGGCCGGCACGCGGAGTCGGGATGGAGCCCAGGTGCTCAGCAGCTGCTGGGAGGCCCTGGTGGGCTCTCCTCCCTCCTGCTCGCTGGGCACCCCCGGGAGGATGCCTGCTTGTAGGGATGACTGTCCGCAGGGCCCTGTGGGGACAGGGGCTGCTCTGCTGAACACAGCCTGTGGTCAAGGCTCTGCTTTGGGGTGATGTGAGTCCACAGAGAAAACAGGAACACGGGGTCCCAGCAGCTCCGCCCCAAGCCTGCACCCCAGACCCAGAGCTGCCGCCCCACGGGCTGGGCTGACCACATGCCCGCCCCCGGCAGGCGCGCGGGGAGCGCAACAGGCGTGGAGCACGGGGCGCCTCCCCAGCTGCCCCGCGCTTTCTCCCAGGCCAGAGATGCTGGGCGCTGCTTCCGTCGGGTGGTGGCTTTTTGGAAGAGGGCGTGTCCCTCGGAGGAGCAGAGGTGAGGAAGAAGAAGACACGCGGCCAGGACAAAGACCTGCGTGCCCGCGGGAGCCCAGTGCCAGTGTCCGCGCGAACCCCGGGGTGTCAGCAACAGCTCTCGCGCTCACCGCCTGCTGAGGGCCGGCGACGGGCCGCCTTGCCGCAAACGCAGAAACGCGGCAGGCGAGCTGACCCGCTCTCCCCGAGCCCTTCGCGGGACGGTGGCCCCTCGGCGACGGCCACCTGGTGGCTGGAGCGGTCGCGTCTGCTGGGGAGGAACGGAGGAGGTTTCGGGTCCTCACCTCCTTGCGCGTCCGACGCTGGCTCTCCCTGGGCTCTGCCCTGCATCATCTCCCGGCAGCCGCAAGGACGTCTTCTGGCGTTTCCCCTCCGGTTTCTTTCATCCAGAGGTTTCATTTTGCTTTTATTCTTTTTTTAAAAATTGAAGTATAAAAAAAAATACGACATGAAAGTAAAAACATTGACGTGTAGTGTTAATCCCCAGCGTGCAGCGTAG